TAGCAGAAATGATAGTTGCATATTCAAAAAATAAGAACTTAAATGATAATATTGTTCATAGTAAACTAAAAACAATCAGTACATAACAGATACTATACTTCTCGCCCATCGGGCGAGTTATTTTTTCTAATTTCAGATCAGAATAAGAACAGAAGAAAACCCAATATCAAGACCCTTAATCCTAATTTCTAAATAAAGTGTCTGCTCCACCCTAGGCCTGTACATTTGGGAGAATCAAACCCTCCCTTCCCCGAAATCTAAATAAAGTGTCTGCTCCACCCTAGGCCTGTACATTTGGGAGAATCAAACCCTCCCTTCCCCGAAAAATAAAATCAATCAGTACATAACATATATTATACTTCTCGCCCATCGGGCGAGTTATTTTTTCTAATTTCAGATCAGAATAAGAACAGAAGAAAACCCAATATCAAGACCCTTAATCCTAATTTCTAAATAAAGTGTCTGCTCCACCCTAGGCCTGTACATTTGGGAGAATCAAACCCTCCCTTCCCCGAAATCCAACTTTAAATTTGGGTTTAATATTTAAATTATTTATTTCATTTTCAAAATTATTAAGGGCAGAAGAAAACTTAATAATATCTGGATTTTGAATGGCTTCCATTGGAGAAACACCGATGGAAGAATTTTATCATTATATTCCAATACTACAGTGGGTAAAATCTTTAACCATTTTTGAGACTTTAGTTCTGTGAATTTTTTGAACAGTTTTGATTTAAGCTTCCTGATAAATCTTTCTACTACTACAGCTTTTCCCTCATTATGAGTACTGTAAATTTCAAACCCAAGTGATTTCATATTTTTATTATAAAATTCGCTTCCTTTATCTACCCACAGTTTTTCTGGATGTCGGCCAGATTGTTTCAAAAGCATGTTTGACTGATAATCCTGTTTAGTTTTTCAAGCATATCTTGTATACAAATCTATAACTGTTAAGCAATATTTAAATCCTCTTTCGACTGGCATATGAATTAAATCGGCTGACCATATTTCATCTTTTTCAAATACTTTAACTTTTAAAAAGAATTTAGTTTTTCTAAATTCTTTATGAATTTCATCTGCCAATCCCATACCTAATTTCATCTTTGCTTTTAACAGTTTTATGATTAGAGCCCTTTGCATTCTCTCTTTGA